CCCCCAGAGTGGAGGCAGCTCAGAGGCTGAGGGCGAGGGGGTAGAGACCTGCATTTATCCTGGCCGGGGGAGCAGGCCTGCCCCAGCCTCCGGCCCAGCCTCCCATTGCCTCACCTGCCCTCGTTGTTGTAATCTAGGCCAGAGCCTGGAGGGAGCCGAGCCCCCATTGGCGCGCACCACGTAGGTTTTTCAGAGATAATTTAATCAGAGCTATTAATAAGCAGGAAAGAAAGAGCTCTTTATGCTCCTCCTGGAGAAAAAGGCAAAGAAGAAGCACGTGTAACCTTGTTATTCACCCAGCCGGCCCCCCTGCCCCCTACTCCCTCCCCGCCCCCTCACCTGCAGCCTCTCTGGGGGCGGGTTGGGGGAAGGGGCATGCAGGCCTGCGAGGGGGCCAACCCCAGTGTGGGCTGAGGAGCCCAGCTGGCCTCAGGGACAGACCCCTGCCAAGCGTCCCCCCAACATGCCGCCCTGACTCACCTGTAGCCACTTGGGCCTAATCCTGGTTGCTAGAAAGTGCCACAGCATTCCCCACTTCAGCAGCACAAGCTGCTCCCCTTCCTAGAATTCATTTCCTCTTGTTCTTAATACAGCTGGCTCATTCTTAGAGCGACTGTCAGCGCCTCAGAGAAGCCCTCCCTGACTATCCCATCTGGGTGTTTTCCCCAGAGCGCCTCCCTGTCGCTTGTCCCTCCCCGGCACTTAGAACCTTTGGCCGGGTTCTGAGCACTGGGATGGTGGTGTGTTTCTTTTCTGTCTCCCTGTGGAGACTGGCAGCCCTGGGAGGGGAGGACCCTTGGTCATTGATCACTCCTGTGTTTCCCAGCACCTCACACAGTAGCTGGCATGTAGTAGGTTCTAGATCAACATATATGTATGTGTTTCTTTCTTTTTTTTTTTTTTCTTGCCAGTGGATGCATGTGCTCACTAGGGAGAGACAGCGAGACAGAGAAAGGGAGAGTCAGAAACATCACCCGCCCTTGCAGGGAGGATGGTTTTTTCAGAGAGAATCTAGGCCACGGGGTGGCCAGGATGGCCACACCACAATCCCTTCTCCATCTTCCTCCTGGGATTTGGGCCCACACTCACACGTGCCCAGTGCGGTCTTCAAGTTGCCAGGTCTGGAACTTGAACTGTGGTTGGCCACATGGGAGTCCAGTGCCTTAATGACTGTCCCACCTGCTGGCCTGGTATATGTTTAATTTTAGAGATTGTGTGCATAAGAGAGAAAGGGAGAAGCACCCTCCATAGGGTCTCGTGACACTGTGACCCTGTTTCCCCAGCCCTCCAGCTCCTCAGGACCCTGGGTGCCAATGTGCATATCCAGCATGTTTTCAGCCAGCCCAGGGATCCGAACCTGAAGTCGCCATATTGAATCCAGCCTCTCAGGACACTTGCGTTTACCTCTGTGCCACAGCAGCTGGACCCGGGTCAACATCTGTCGATGGAGTTAGGGAGGGTTTGGTGAGGAGTTGGGACAGAAACCAGGCGGTGATGGGGGTCGTTTCAACCTGGAAGTCCCCACAGAGAATCAAGAGCCATTAACTGTCCCTCTTGTTCCACCACTGGGGCTCAGGAGGCCCAGAAGAAGGAAGGCACTTGTCCAAAGTCGTGCAGTGAATGTGGACCAGAGGTGGGGGTTGAACCCAGAGGCCCGTCAAAGGCTCACTGTTCTGTGTGAGTTTCATCCCAAATACCAGCTCTGCACTCAGGAGGATTCTGAGGCCCCACTCAGGTTCAAGAGATAGAGAGTGCTACTCTGCCATGGATTAGTGATGTCTGCCATGGATTAGTGACATCTGTCATAGATGAGTAATGTCTGCCACAGACCTGGGGGTGGCCAGGGGGTCATTTCTGTGATGGTGTTTTGGAGTTTGGCAGTGCACTGGACTGGAAGTCGAAGTCAAAAGGACTGGTTCTTTCAGTCAGCACCACCATCTTGTGATGTGACCCCTGGACAACACAGCCAACCTCCCTGGGCCTCAGTTTTCTCGTCTGAGAAGTGGGGTTATCCACCCTAGCCCTGCCCATCTCAAGGGCTGTCACTAGAACATGGATGTAACGTTTCCCCAGGCCGAATGGGCTCTGCAAACATAACCACTGATTATTACTGTGCAGTATGAGCAATCATAACACCCACCTGCCGAGGCCCCGCTGCAAACCGGGCATTCTCCATGGTGCTTCGCATGCGTGACCTCCTGGAAACCTTGCAAGGAGGCTGAGAAGAATCGCTGGACCCAGTCACAGATGTGGGCCCTGAGGCTGGGGTCAGTGGCCTTGCTCAAGGTCGTGCAGGGCTCCTGAGTGGGTGGAGCCAGGATGTGAACCCTGTAGGTCTCCTTGCCATGGCGGTTTCTAATTTAGCTGGAGGTCTTAACACACAGGAAACAGCCAGCACCTCACACAGTAGCTGGCATGTAGTAGGTTCTAGATCAACATATATGTATGTGTTTCTTTCTTTTTTTTTTTTTTCTTGCCAGTGGATGCATGTGCTCACTAGGGAGAGACAGCGAGACCGAGAAAGGGCGAGGCAGAAACATCACCCGCCCTTGCAGGGAGGATGGTTTTTTCAGAGAGAATCTAGGCCACGGGGTGGCCAGGATGGCCACACCACAATCCCTTCTCCATCTTCCTCCTGGGATTTGGGCCCACACTCACACGTGCCCAGTGCGGTCTTCAAGTTGCCAGGTCTGGAACTTGAACTGTGGTTGGCCACATGGGAGTCCAGTGCCTTAATGACTGTCCCACCTGCTGGCCTGGTATATGTTTAATTTTAGAGATTGTGTGCATAAGAGAGAAAGGGAGAAGCACCCTCCATAGGGTCTCGTGACACTGTGACCCTGTTTCCCCAGCCCTCCAGCTCCTCAGGACCCTGGGTGCCAATGTGCATATCCAGCATGTTTTCAGCCAGCCCAGGGATCCGAACCTGAAGTCGCCATATTGAATCCAGCCTCTCAGGACACTTGCGTTTACCTCTGTGCCACAGCAGCTGGACCCGGGTCAACATCTGTCGATGGAGTTAGGGAGGGTTTGGTGAGGAGTTGGGACAGAAACCAGGCGGTGATGGGGGTCGTTTCAACCTGGAAGTCCCCACAGAGAATCAAGAGCCATTAACTGTCCCTCTTGTTCCACCACTGGGGCTCAGGAGGCCCAGAAGAAGGAAGGCACTTGTCCAAAGTCGTGCAGTGAATGTGGACCAGAGGTGGGGGTTGAACCCAGAGGCCCGTCAAAGGCTCACTGTTCTGTGTGAGTTTCATCCCAAATACCAGCTCTGCACTCAGGAGGATTCTGAGGCCCCACTCAGGTTCAAGAGATAGAGAGTGCTACTCTGCCATGGATTAGTGATGTCTGCCATGGATTAGTGACATCTGTCATAGATGAGTAATGTCTGCCACAGACCTGGGGGTGGCCAGGGGGTCATTTCTGTGATGGTGTTTTGGAGTTTGGCAGTGCACTGGACTGGAAGTCGAAGTCAAAAGGACTGGTTCTTTCAGTCAGCACCACCATCTTGTGATGTGACCCCTGGACAACACAGCCAACCTCCCTGGGCCTCAGTTTTCTCGTCTGAGAAGTGGGGTTATCCACCCTAGCCCTGCCCATCTCAAGGGCTGTCACTAGAACATGGATGTAACGTTTCCCCAGGCCGAATGGGCTCTGCAAACATAACCACTGATTATTACTGTGCAGTATGAGCAATCATAACACCCACCTGCCGAGGCCCCGCTGCAAACCGGGCATTCTCCATGGTGCTTCGCATGCGTGACCTCCTGGAAACCTTGCAAGGAGGCTGAGAAGAATCGCTGGACCCAGTCACAGATGTGGGCCCTGAGGCTGGGGTCAGTGGCCTTGCTCAAGGTCGTGCAGGGCTCCTGAGTGGGTGGAGCCAGGATGTGAACCCTGTAGGTCTCCTTGCCATGGCGGTTTCTAATTTAGCTGGAGGTCTTAACACACAGGAAACAGTGACTGTAGGTTGGAGTGGTCCCCCGCTACCCCCCAAGGTCGGCTCTGCCCTCTGGCCAGCTGGGCCTGGTTCTCTCGGGCTCTGAGTGGCAGGGAGATTTCCAGGGGATTAAACCTAGCCGGCCCCTCCTCCCCATGACCTGGAAAGGCCAGCAGGCCCTCCCAGGTCCTCCTAAGCCCTCCTGGCACAGCTCCTTTTGTACAAAAAGTTATTGACTTATCAAGGTTAAAATACATTCAGCGCAGGCCAATAAAACAGGGATACCGCCGCATCCCGGCTGTCGTGTGCAGCCCGGTTTTCATGGCAACAGGCCCTCGTCTGCACATTAAACGGTTCAGTTGTGCAAAGTTCAGGCGTTACATAAACAGGGAGTTAACAACAGCAGCAGAAATCAATGTCTGGCCAGGCATGGCCCGGGGAGATAGCATTGATTGGGCCCTCTGTCATTGATAAGCCGGGTCCCTGCTTCCTGCCCAGCTGCCCTGGCTCAGACCCACAGAGCTCCAGGAAGATGCCCCTGCCCTTGCCCAGAGCCCCTCTCTGGCCGGGATCCAGCCATGAGGGGTTCTGCTAAACTGTCTGCAGTTCTTTGGTAAAACGTTATTGTTCAGGGATGTCATTCCATTCCTTAAAATATAGTTATGCCAGAGTTCACGGAGACAGCCTTTTAAACCATCCTTGAGACAAGAAACAATCTGACTGCCTTTATGTTTAGCCATAAAAACCACAGCTATATCAACATGTGCCCCCACGGGGTCAAATAGAGCAGGATATGAAACCGAACTGGCTGTGTGACCTTGGGTTAGTTGCTTCACCTCTCTGAGCCTCAGTTTCTTCTCTCTCTCTTTCACTCTCTTTCTAAGATTTGTTGGCTTGGTTTGTCTTGTTTTAGAGAGATTTTTGCTATAGGGTACATATGCTCGCCAGAGAGAAGAAGAGAGACAGAGAGACAGAAAGCAAGAAGTCACCCCCCCGGAGGGATAGCCACACTGCAATCCCTTCTCCTCCATTGTCCTCTTGGGATCTTGGGCACGCATGCACACGCACCCAGTGTGGGTTTTAAGTCATCGGGTCTGGGACTCGAACTATGGTCAACTATGTGGGAGTCCAGCAACATAACCATTACACCATCTGCTGGTCCCTGTTTATTTTTTAATTGCTAGAGGATGCATGTGCTCACCAGAGACAGAAAGACAGAGAGTGAGAGAGTGAGAAAGCACCCACCACTGGGGAGTGGTCGTGCAGCAATCCCATCTCCATTTCTCCATTCTATCGGGATTTAGGGCACGCACACACACACTTCCAGCGTGGTTTTGAAGCTGCCAGGGCTGGTGGCCAGCCATGTGGGATCTAGCTCCCTTAACCAACAGGCCACAGTACCCGCCCAGCGTCTCATTCTTTTAAAATGGCAAAAGTAACAGCACCAACCTCATGGGGCTGTAAGGAAGCAGGAAACGAGGGGACACACATGGCGCCTCTGGCTTAGGGCTTGACAGAGAGTGGCTTGTGTCCGGAAGCTACCCCTTTTTAATCTCTTCTACTCTGATGGATCATAAAGGAGCAGGGAACCAAGCAGTGACATGTGGGTTCAATCCCAGCTCTACTCCTATCTGTGTGACCCTAGGCAAAGAACCTCACCCCTCTGAGCCTCAGCATCCACTCCTTCCTAGAAAATGGGGCCATGCTCTTGCTCTTGTAGGAGTGAGGGGAGCATTCCTTCACATGAATGTGCTAGGCACCCAGAGGGTACCCAATAAAGACCGATTGAATCAGGGGCCGGCAGGTGGCGTGGCAGTTGAGGTGTTGAACTCCCATATGGCCAACCACTGTTCAAGTCCTGGACCTGGCAGCTTGCTTTCTCAGTTTCCTTCTCACTCTCTGGTCCAATTAGAAAGTAATAGTCAGGGGCCAGCAGATGGCGTGGTGGTTAAGGCGCTGGACTCCGATATGGCCGACCATGGTTTGACCTGGTGGCTTGCTTTCTCACCTTCTCTTTCTCTCTCTCTCTGTCTCTCTCTGGTGGATTAAAAAAAAAAACCAATAATAATAATTAATAAAATTAAATAAATAGTTCTTTTTTAAAAAGTGATAATAATAACTAAAATAAAATAATTCTTATAAAACAATTTATTGAATCAGTTCCTCTCTCTGGTATTTCAATGTCAGGTTCATCCATCCCAAAATGAAAAATGTTGTGGGCTTTCTCTGAGGAGAGGAAAGGCTGACGGGAAAGAAGGGTCTGTTCCACTTACTGGAAGGTTCTTAAGAACAGGTGCCTGGTCGTGCTCATCTCTGCATAGTCCAGGCTGGGCAGAGCCCTGGTATACGGTCCGAGCTCAGTCGTGTTTTACTTGTTTGTTTACTCCATGAACCAGAGAGGCAGCACCCCAGGTCGACGCTGCAGTCCACCCCAACCGCCAGCCTCAGCCAGCCCTGGGTCTCGAACTATGGTCAACTATGTGGGAGTCCAGCAACATAACCATTACACCATCTGCTGGTCCCTGTTTATTTTTTAATTGCTAGAGGATGCATGTGCTCACCAGAGACAGAAAGACAGAGAGTGAGAGAGTGAGAAAGCACCCACCACTGGGGAGTGGTCGTGCAGCAATCCCATCTCCATTTCTCCATTCTATCGGGATTTAGGGCACGCACACACACACTTCCAGCGTGGTTTTGAAGCTGCCAGGGCTGGTGGCCAGCCATGTGGGATCTAGCTCCCTTAACCAACAGGCCACAGTACCCGCCCAGCGTCTCATTCTTTTAAAATGGCAAAAGTAACAGCACCAACCTCATGGGGCTGTAAGGAAGCAGGAAACGAGGGGACACACATGGCGCCTCTGGCTTAGGGCTTGACAGAGAGTGGCTTGTGTCCGGAAGCTACCCCTTTTTAATCTCTTCTACTCTGATGGATCATAAAGGAGCAGGGAACCAAGCAGTGACATGTGGGTTCAATCCCAGCTCTACTCCTATCTGTGTGACCCTAGGCAAAGAACCTCACCCCTCTGAGCCTCAGCATCCACTCCTTCCTAGAAAATGGGGCCATGCTCTTGCTCTTGTAGGAGTGAGGGGAGCATTCCTTCACATGAATGTGCTAGGCACCCAGAGGGTACCCAATAAAGACCGATTGAATCAGGGGCCGGCAGGTGGCGTGGCAGTTGAGGTGTTGAACTCCCATATGGCCAACCACTGTTCAAGTCCTGGACCTGGCAGCTTGCTTTCTCAGTTTCCTTCTCACTCTCTGGTCCAATTAGAAAGTAATAGTCAGGGGCCAGCAGATGGCGTGGTGGTTAAGGCGCTGGACTCCGATATGGCCGACCATGGTTTGACCTGGTGGCTTGCTTTCTCACCTTCTCTTTCTCTCTCTCTCTGTCTCTCTCTGGTGGATTAAAAAAAAAAACCAATAATAATAATTAATAAAATTAAATAAATAGTTCTTTTTTAAAAAGTGATAATAATAACTAAAATAAAATAATTCTTATAAAACAATTTATTGAATCAGTTCCTCTCTCTGGTATTTCAATGTCAGGTTCATCCATCCCAAAATGAAAAATGTTGTGGGCTTTCTCTGAGGAGAGGAAAGGCTGACGGGAAAGAAGGGTCTGTTCCACTTACTGGAAGGTTCTTAAGAACAGGTGCCTGGTCGTGCTCATCTCTGCATAGTCCAGGCTGGGCAGAGCCCTGGTATACGGTCCGAGCTCAGTCGTGTTTTACTTGTTTGTTTACTCCATGAACCAGAGAGGCAGCACCCCAGGTCGACGCTGCAGTCCACCCCAACCGCCAGCCTCAGCCAGCCCTGGATCTTGGGCATGCCCAGGGTACTCGGGAAGGTCTGGATGTGAACCCAGAACCTTCCATGGAGGTGTTTTACGACTACATCACCGCCTGGTCTCTCACCGTGTTTGTTGGACAGAGGTAAACTCAGGAAGAGTTTGCTAGGTCCCCTCTGATCTGATAGGGGATAGCAAGGAGATGAGGGGGCTGGGATAACCAGGATGGCCAAGAGGGGTTCCCAGCCATGCTGGGGAAGGAAGGCAAAGACGACCGACTCGCCACCGAAATCCACGTCCCCTTCCATGGCATGCGGCGCTGGAGCAGTGCCCGGACAGAGAGCCCATTTCCAGGCTTGGCTGTGTGCAAAGCTCTTGCCAGTGAGATGTAATGAACAAACGTGATGTAAGGGGTGGGGGGCAGGTGGTGATGCAGTGGTGGCACATGGACTGACTCAGGAAAGGTCCTGAGTTCTCATCCCCAGACCTCCCTGGACAGGCTGTACACACATACCTGTAATCTGGGTAGGCCGCAAACCATGAGTGGACCACGGGACCGTGTTCCGGGTGCCCTTTTCTTGTCTCAGACTCTCTCTCTCTCTCTGTTTCTCTTTCTCATGGAAGAAATAAATGAAGGAATTATATTTTTTTAAAAAGTGCAGGTGGCATAATGGTTAAGGTGCTGGATTCCCACATGGCTGACTGTATTTCGAGTCCTGGACCCAGTGGCTTGAAACTCATGCTGGGCACATGTGCATGTGTGCCCAAAATCACGAGAGGAAAATGGAGAAG